ACAGTAGGCTGGACTCAGCCCCTGAGCCATAGTCGGCAGAACCCTGCCCTGGAGGGTCTCTACTGAAGGCAACCTGAGGTCTCTGCTTTGAATGGAAGTGAGTCCTTAACAGACGGTCCCTCGACAGTGACTAACTCCTGGGGCAGCTCTGTGACTTGCCGAAGTCCTAAGGGCATGGTGGGCTGAGGAAGCCATGCGTCCCTTGTTGGAAAGATTCTCTTACGGAGACGCTTTGAGGCAGGGAGCGGAGCCCTAGACTATAACACTCCTGTCGAAATCTTGTCGGCACTCTGGGCCTCCAGACAACAAGAACATCCCAACATCTCAGCCAGAGACGCACAAACCTCACATCCGGGAGCAAAAGGGAGGGAACAAAGGACCCCACATGCTCAAAAACTCTTCTGAGCCGCAGTCCCTTCTTCTCAAAGTCTGGCACAGGCTTTGTGTTGGGCAGACCCCTTGCTCTCCAGCATTGTCAGTAGGTGTCCAAGCAAGTGTGGAACGACAGCAGAGGGGAGCGGCTTCCCCGCCACCCACGTCAGGTGTTTCTGCAGGAGATGGGGTGCGTTACCTGCGTGGGGAGTTGAGGAGAGACTAGAATCCCCCCAACGATCAGAAAAGGCACAGACGTCGGCGAAAGCAGAACATACTGCAGATGGCGGAGGCAACGAGGCTGCGGAGACAGAGAAGCATCTGCCGTGTCGATAGCCTGAGAGAAGGAAACCACATTATCTGAAGGTGGCCACCCCGCCCGGGTCACCCAGGAGCATGCAGTGGAAGGCGGACTTGTGAGATGAACTCACACTTATGTGGTTAGCTGGGACATGTGCGACAGGGGAGGAATCTGGTAATATTTTGATTAATGACTTCCTTGAGGATGAAGCTCTTTTATACGGAACAGCTCTATTAGAAAGAAAACCTCAAGCCAAAGTTCCTTCATAAATCATGCAAAAAATGGCTCGCTACACCACAAAAATAGCTCAAGCACAGTCTCTATTTGTCTTTGGTTAGATGCTGATGAATAGGGCTCGTCCTTAGCCAGCTTGTAACGGCCGAACTCGGCCACAGGTCTTTCCGCGCCTTTCATTCGGATCCGTAGCCTCCGGGCCCCCCGACTTTAGTCACCTCAGAGTGCAAGCGCCCGTCCGCTCTCTCCGCCTCTTGACCAAGTTGGCTTTGGACGCCTTGGGAACGAAGGGGTTACTGCAGGCTATTGTCAGTTCATCCCCCTTTTCTCCTAATGCTCCCAAAGCCCTGATTCTTTGCTGCCGGGGGGCAGGGGGTGGGTGGGGGTGGAATTCACTGAGGGTTGTAGGAGCCCGTGAGGGTGGATGATGCTATGTTACATCTAATGTCTCGTAGGATCCCCGGTCAGTAGGTTGTTGCACACATCTGCTGTGTCCCTTTGTCCCTCTTACCTCTCTACCTGCTCCTGTACTAACCTTACCCAATCCTGACCACACACACACCATGTATGTATGTGTATATGTATATAGATAGCATTAATACAAATAATGTTTTGACATTTGGTTAATAAGCACTTAGTGATTCCTTACATCATAAATCACGTATCTGACAACTGGACTGCATTCTGTACCATCTATTTCCACCTGTTGGAAAGTTGTGGCACAGGTGTGCGACAGGGCTCTATTCTCAGCATGTCCCGTGAGGCTCAGTGTGCGTTTGTGGCCCAGGGTGGTTGAGGGGCCACGTGATATCAATGAATGCAAGGCCAACAGCAAAATGTGGTGGTTTCTGTAACTGGAAAGACCTGAGGTGAATCTGGATTCTTGCTGTTCTTATTGAAGTGAAATCCGTACAACATAAAATTTAAGGGCACAATTGAGTGGCATTTAGTACATTCACCATGTGCTGCAAATACTGTCTTTATCAAGTTCTAACACATTTTTATCATCCCTGAAGAAAACCCCATACCTTACGCTGTCACTCCCCATTTCCTCTCCTTTAAGCCCCAGACAATCATCAATCTGGTTTCTTTCTTTACAAATCTACCTATTCTGGGTATTTTATATAAATGTAATCTTATAATTTGAGCCTCTTTGTATCTGCCTTCTTTCACTTAGCATGATGTTCTCAAGGTTCATTCATGTCACAACAGGAGTCAGTATTTCATTCCTTTTCATGACTGGGTAATATTCCATTGTGTGGATATACCACAATTAGCTTATCCATTCTTCTGTTGAGGGACATTTGGGTCGTTTCCACTTTCCGGCTTTTGTGAATAGAGTTGCTATGAAGTTTGGTGTACAAGTATTTGAGTACTTGTTTTCTGTTTTTTGGGGGGCATAAACCCAGGCGTGAAATTGCTGGGTCGTACGGTTATTGTGTTTTAACTTTTTGAGGAACAGCCAAACTGTTTTCCACGGCAGCTGCACCATTTTACATGCCTACCAGCTGTGCACAGGGAACTCACAGCTCTACATCCTTGTCGACACTATTATTTTCCTTAGTTTTGATTATAACCATCCTAGTGGGTGGAATGTGGTATCTCTGCGGTTTTCATCTGCATTTTTCTAATGACTTGTGACGCTGAGCATCTTTTCATGTGTTTGTCGTCCGCTTCTGTATCCTCTTTGGAGAAATGTGTATTCAAGTTTTTGCCTGTTCTTAAGTTGGGTTCTTTGTCTTTTTGTTGTTGAGTTGTAAGAGTCTTTTTTATATTCTGGATCCTAGACCCTCATCAGAAGTATGATTTGCAGAATTTTTTTCCCATTCTTTAGGTTGCTTTTCACGTTATTAATAGTAAGAGATACTAAGTATTTTGAACGGGATGGACCATGCAATGTCTGTCGCGAGATCATTCTAGGTACTGTGTGTGTGTGTGTGTGTGTGAAGGGACACAGGTCTGTGGCAGCACTTGGTGGGTGCAAGAGGGGAGCAGTTAGGAGGACACTTTCTTGAGGGCTTCGGGAATTCTCGGGACTGGGTCTAACTTAGGTTTTATAGCTTTATTTTCTGTCAGTACCTATCAAGAGGAAGTTCTGTAATTAATATTTGATAGATGGAATTAATTTTCTTGACTCAGATATAAATCCTCAATGCTCTTGCCATCTCAATCCATTCTCCACAGGCATCCGGGCTATCTTTCAAAAATGTAAAACTGTCCACATCACTTCCCTCTGCGAGATATTTAGTGACTCTGTGTTGCTGTCAGAGTTGTGATTATTTATGCCTTAGACATGCGTCCCAGGGACTGTGCTTGGTGCTGGAGTTACAGATGTAAGCTGGATGCCATGGCTTCTGATGGCCTCCTCCCTGGGTGTCCAAGATATGTTCAATCTAGACCTGACATAGTTTTTGTCTAACCCTAACCCTAACCCTAGACCACAGTCACACCATTTCCTGAAAATGTCCTATGTTGTCACACCTTTATCTCCTCCTCCTTCTCTACTTGTAAAGTGTGAGGTTGGAAAGCCCAGAACTGGTGCTTTTTTTTTTTTTTTTTTTTTCCTATGAAACCTTTCTGAATCTATTAGAATGAATTGTTCCCTCTCTGGGCTGCCATAAAACTTGTTCAAATTTGACTTCTATAGAATTATCAGGTTTTATTATAATAGACTACCTCTGCAATCTGTCTGAGCCAATATATTACTGTGTGACTTGAGGGCAGACACTAAGTCTTTCTCATACTTGCATTTCCAGGGTCTTAGCAGGGTACCTGTCACAGCTCACTAATATTTTGGACAGATTGGTTTCTCTTTTTTTTAATTACTTGCAAAACAGAGATACCTCATCTGACTTCATCACACAGCTGTTATGGGTGCAAATAATACCGTAGATGTGAAAGGTTTTGGGAAATAGAACGCTATGTAAATATAAGGTGGCAGTACACAGTACTATATGTATTCAGCAGAGTTTTGTGCTGCTGATTTCTTGCTTCTTGAAAAAGTTCCCACGTGAGATACTCATGCTGAGCAGTGGACACCTACTGATAGACTTTGGGACTGAATCCAGAGGTTCAGAGTTGACCTTAGGCAACATGGTCTTTAGTGATTCATGCTCCCCCTTCTTGCCAATTCTTACCCACCTTCTATTTTGACCCTCATCAGGGGCCAAATGCATTCATATAATTCCTCTCATTATAGAGGCAATAATGCATTTTTTTTTTGATACTGACATGGTGATAGGTTCCTAACAAGTTCTTAAGAAACCAAACTGATATTTTACATGAAAGGGAAGGGAACAATGATGAACTTAAAAACTCAATCACATTTTGATATTGTACAGAATTCTATAAGATGTAACCCTTGGGGAAAACTTGGATCCCCAAGTCAAGCCTACCTGCATCCTCTCTGTACTATCTTTGCAAATTACTGTGACTCTATAACGATTTGAAAATCAAAAGTTAAAAAAAACACCCACAGTGGTAGATTTGTGTCTCTCCTGAGCCACGATACTTTTGTATCTTTAGGGCCTTCCGTGGTCCCTTCGTCACCTCCAAAGCAAATGCCCGAGGTCAAAGAAGAGGTAGAAGTGAAGGGAAGGCCAAATCCAGCAGCAGTCCACACAGGTGGAGCCTTCTAGCCTCTGGAGCCCGAGGCCCCTCCCCCTGCCCTCAGTCTCTGCTCCAATGTCAAGTTCTCAGTAAAGACTTCCTGGGCCTTCCTGTCTAAAAGGGTAACACTCCCACTCGCCTTGCCTTATCCCCACTTTCCTGCTTTGTTTTCCCTCATGCACTCGCCACCTATAACTTACATATTCTACTTTTTTATTTCAGTTTCTGTCTCCTCCCACTAGAATGTAAGTTCCATGATGGCAAGGACTTTTTTTTTTTTTTTTTTTTTTTTATTTACTGTTGTATCCTTATTGCCTAGAGCAGAGTTTGGCAAAGAGAAAGCCCTCAGCCACTCTCTGATTTGTTCAATGAATGAATCTTTGTAGAAATTAAAAGCTTGAAAATAAGCTATTTCCCCGAGAGAGAAGTGATTCAAATCTGCTCATCTCTTGTGTGAGAGCAAACCTGACTTTGAAGCTAAGACCTTTTTCCTGTGTTACACTTCAGAAAAAGAAGACACTAGTGATAATATCTGAGAGGAAGGAAGCAGTGTATCGTGCTGGGCCTCTGCATGTAACATTATAAAAATTGTCTTTTTTTTTTTTTAATAGACCAGTCTCCCAAACGGTTTCCAGAGATGGATTATCTTGCTTTCTTCTTGGCTATTGTTCACATATACAGAGGTAAAGATAATGTCTTCATTTAAAAAATTTACGTCTTTTTTAGTCTTATTAGCATGACATGTTTAGAATTTATAATGCTCTTTATTCGGCTCAGATAATTTCTCACTTGGTTCAGGAAACCTACAAGTTACAAATACCTCTTATCAGTGGTGGAAACCTTTTTAGACTAAGTTAGAAACTGTTAGCCTTTAGAAACTGTTAGCCATTTGCTATCTTGCTAGGTCTTAGAAAGCTTAGAATAAGCTTTAGGGATCTATTTGGTGTTTTAATCATCAAGCCTAACTGAATAAATGTGATGTTGTGTGTTTCAGCTCTATGTGAAGAGATGTTCTGGGACACGACTGTTAAACTGGCTGAGAATATGAGTCTAGAATGCGTGTACTCATCACTGGACACCTTAACCCAGATGGAGTGGTTCAAGATCAATACCACGGACAGAGAGTCCATAGCCATATTCAGCCCTGCCTATGGTGTGATTATAAGGACACCCTATGCTGATAGGGTTTACTTCTTAAATTCTACCATGGCTCCTAATGATATGACCCTGACCTTCCATAATGTCTCTGAGGCTGATGTTGGCTACTACTCCTGTTTACTTCATACTTTCCCATATGGCCATTGGGAAAAGGTGATCCGGGTGGTTGCATCAGGTAAGTGGGCATTTTATTTACCCGTTTACCCATCTACAGCATTTGATTCCTAAAGCCCAAGTTAGAAGCTATGAAATGCTTTATCATGTTTTCATGGTATTTTCCAATTTCACTTCTAGATCATATGATATCGTTGCTCTAAAGAAATTCTGTGAATTAATTTCATCTTTGTTCATGTGCTATCATTTCTGAGTAGAATAAAACCTCACAGATTTGGGTGTATTCGGGGAAAAGCTCAGGTTTTGTACTGTCTCAGCCATGACTCAAGCCTAGATTTAACTGATGTTGGCAACGTTTGGGTTCGGCAGCCGGGCACCTCCCCTTCTGCACTTCTTTCCAGCAATGGGATGAGGCTTCCTTCCACCAGGCACTCCGAGCTGGCTTCAAACCCTTTCTGTAACACCAAATCTAGACTTGTTAGTGAATCTGAGCAGAGTTCATACGCTGGTGTCATTTTGAGCTTCATGCAAATTCCACAAGAGAGGACCCGTCAGAAATTGTGAAGTGTCATTTCAGAAAGAATTGATCGATCTCTTGGATATTTTCTGCTGTGTCTGTCAGGGTCTGTGGCTTGGTGCGTGGTGAGTTGATCCTTCGAGTAATAGCCACATGGATTGGGTGTGCTATATGAGAAAAACGTGGGTTTCATAGCCTTTGCTTTCTCTATGACCTTATGTTAGCTGTTCAATCCCTCTGAATCTCAGGCTTCTGAATAGCAAACTGAGTTACTAATACCATTCTCTTTGTTGAATGCCTTAGAGTTCATATGGTTAAAGAACTTGGCCTATGGTAGTCAGGGAATGGTAAGTATTATTATTGTAACTATGATTATTTCCTGTGTTTTTGATACAAAATAACTATGAAATTTTCAGATGCCAGCAATAGTCTAGGGAAGGAAATAGTTTGGAACTGTGTGTTTCTTGTCTGGGGTCTCTAAAATTATATCCCAAGTGGACATTCAGCAGAACACATTATGTGACATCTGCTAGAGTGCTTTCTTTTTAAGGGATGCATATTACAAAAGAACAATTTATGATATTGTGTAAGGGATAGCAAATGGTCGGAAGGTAAGAAAATTTCCCATGTGATAGTTTTTTTTCTCTGTAGCTGTAGCTAAGCTTAAAAATGGTTTTGTGTGCACGAGTAAAGCTTACAGAGTGTCTATTAGCAAAATCTCTTTAGTGAAAGACTTGCCACTGAAGTCATTCGCTTAGCAGTCAGGTGTGAAGTCCTGCCGGCCAGTTTTTAGTGCATCCACCACTTTTGATTAGCCGTGCAATGAGAGAGTTGGAGTAGCTCTACTCTTAAAGGAAAGGGAGCTACTGGGTACCCAGCTGGAGCCACCGAGGCCAGAATGAGATGGGATCCCCCCACCCTGCGTGTGGCAAGCTTTTGCAGTTCGGGTCCCAGATCAGGTATTCCAATTTCTGTCAAGGAATAATCAGTGCAAAACAGGTAGACTAGAGGCGCCCGGGTGGCTCAATCGGTTAAGTGTCTGACTTCGGCTCAGGTCGTGATCTCAGGGTTTGTGAGTTCGAGCCCCACATTGGGCTCACTGCTGTCAGCACAGAGCCTGCTTCGGATCCTCTGTCTCTCCCTCTCTCTCTCTGCCCCTCCCCTGCTCTCTCTCTGTCTCTCGCTCTCAAAAGTAAATAAACATTAAAGAAGAAAAAGGTAGAACAATGGTCACCAAGCACGGGGAGGTGGGGAAATAGGGAGCAGTTGTCAGAGGATACAAAGTTGCAGGTACGTAGGACAACTCCACCTAGAGATCTAAGGTGCCCATGAAGATGGCAGTTAATAATATTGGACTGAATACTGGACATTTCCTAAGACAGTAGATTTCAGGTGCTCTCACCACAGAAAATGGTAACTGTGTGAGAAGATACGTAAATTAGTTTGATTATAGCAGTCGTTGCATGCTGTTCATATATGTTCATCCAATCACTGTGTCGCGTGCCTTAAATATATAGAATAGTAATTTGAAAAGAAAAACACCAACAGCCAGTTTGGCCTCTTCTGAAAGTTGAGGACAGAGGCTAGAGCTCAGATGTGGAGAACTAAGTTGTGATTGCCAGACCAAGATAGGGTTTTTAGTGTCCGTCATGTGTGAACAGTTTTGGCAATACTTTCCCACTTTTATCATCCAGATCGCTCCTGTTATTTTTGCGAGGTTAGGAAAAGACAGGTCTTTGCCTTCTCGGGCTTTTTCAAACATAATGCTAGGATTCTCAGTCAATCACTGGTGAAAGAAAGGAGTGCCCACCTATCCACCTGGTTGAATTCGTCATGATGGTTTCCTTTTTTTTTTTTTTTTTTTTTAATGTTTATTTATTTTGAGAGAGAGACAGGGAGGGAGAGAGAGAATGAGAGAGAATGAGGGATAGAGAGAGAGAGAGAGAGAAGCACAAGCAGGGGAAGGGCAGAGAGAGAGAGAATCCCGAGCAGGCCATCAGCATGGAGCTCAACACAGGGCTTGAACTCATGAATCATGAGATTCATGACCTAAGCTGAAATCAAGAGTCGGACCCTTAACCGACTGAGCCACCCAGGCGTCCCTTCATTTTTTTAAAACTAAAAATGATAGTGAATTTAAAAAATATAGTAGCCGTATTTCAAAGTTAACTTTATATGTACTTAAAGTCTTCCGTGTGTGTTTTATTAACATCATATCAGGACCTACAAGTATTGCACGCATGTGTAATATAAAGAGAGAGTTGATGATCTACCTAACAATACAAGGTTGGACTTGGAATCCAGAAATCCCAATTTGTATAATAGGTTGTAAGAACTTCAAAAGGATAAAGGAGTTGAACCACATGCTTTCTTTAAAAAAAAAATTTTTTTTTTAATGTTTGTCTATTTTTGAGAGAGACAGACAGAATGCAGCAGGGGAGGGGCAGAGAGAGAGGGAGACACAGAACTGGAAGCAGGCTCCAAGCTCTGAGCTGTCAGCACAGAGCCCAACGCGGGGCTCGAACTCACAAGTTTTGATATCATGACCTGAGCGGAAGTCAGATGCTTAACCAACCAACTGAGCCACCCAGGCGCCCCAAACCACATGCTTTATGTATATACTAATTTCTTCTCTTTGCTGATCGCTTGCTGTCTGTGAGGAATTTGGCCGCTATCTTCTCATTTAACCCCACTGCACACTTGGATGTGGACATAACCTTGATTTTACAGGTGAGGACTTGAAAGGTGGTGAGGTCTAATATCTGCCCAACTTCTCAGACTTTGTAGTGTCCCACTGGATAAAGTTGTAGTGAGAGGACAGAAGATGATGGTTTGGGGGGTCATGGAGCCCTCTGGGCCGTCCAATGAGGAGACACCAACCACGGTACATCCTTGCTGCCCTAGCCCCCACCTGGGGCTTTCAGCCCAGAGCTGAAGAGCAAATTGGACATCTTATCTGGATAAATGGTACTGTTAATGCCAATTTGTGTTAACATGTGTGTTAACTTCACAACCAGCATTTCTCAACTGGTAACCGACTTAGAGAATTTAATGGTAAGAATGGCTGTATTTATTTTACTGCTTCAAGGGAAAAGATGCTGAGGCAGCTGGGAAGGTAACCTTTCGAAGGCATCCCTTTCATAGCAGAGTTGGTGGTGGAGGTGGGATCAAGCAGAAAATCGCTGCATGCCGTGTGTCTCTGGCCTTGCTGGTCCATTCAAGAGAATGTAGTTACATTTATGGAAATGCCCCTCCCCCCCAAAGGGTGGTCCTCCCCCAGTACTCCACCACCTAACTTGCATTGGGTGCCTCCTGGGTAGAAAGCAAATGCCCTCTGCTTTAATGCTCATGAGACACCATGGCAGAGGTCGTGTGTTCCCGTCATGCAGCCGGAGAAAGTGCGGCTCCGGGTCACTCACCACCTCGAGGTTGCTGAGCATCAGGTGGAAGCAGCTGATGTCTGTGAGGTGCCAGGAATGAGATGAAAAGGAGCTTGAGTCCAGCAGGGTGATGAGGAGGCTCAAGAATCAAGTGCCGGGCCCTGACGACTTGGAAGGATTTTTTGTAAGAGAGAGAGACGGGTGAGGGAAGGAGGAAAAATGGAGAGGGGGGTATCTTAGGAGTACTGACAGCACGGAGATGGCGCCAGGGGAGTTGAACACCCAGGTAGGAAGAAGGCAGGCACCTGTTTGACCAAGTACAGAGCCCCAGCGGGAGGTGGCTCCCGCCCTGGGCTGGCCACCCCTCACTGCTAGAGGAAGAAACAGGGATGCCCGCACCAGCAAAGGGGCTCAGCGCGTGATGCGCTGGGGTCCCAAGTAAGGTTTTGTCCCATAGGTTCTAAGTTGAAAAAGAGACTTGAAGCCCCCGGAGCAGCAGAATGTCAGGCAGAGCCCAGGAAGTTTGGTCAGCCCAGGTCTTGCTGTGCCTAATGGAGTCTGAACTTCATTCTGTAATGTAGACCATGGGAAGCTACTGAACATTTTTCACAGGGAGACACATAATAAACCAGTTCTTTTTTTTTTTTTTCACCACCTGCAAGATTAAGTTGGTTGTAGCTTCTAGGAGGGGAGGAGTGTAAGGTCAGGTGAACAAGTAGTAGTCTACTGATTGGAACACTTATCCATTGCCCGTAGGAGCGTAGATTAGTATATCTATTGTATTATGAGTGTTGGTAATATTCAGGTTCTCCTGAGAAACAGAACCGACGGGATGTGTATGTAGATAGAGATTTTTTGACATGGAATTGGCTGCTGTGATTATGGAGACTGGCAAGACGGAGTCCTCAGGGTGGGCCAGCAGGCTGGGGCACCAGGAGAGAGAATGGTATGGATGAAGTCAGAAGGCAGTCTGCTGGAGATTTCCCTCTTACCTGGGGAAGTGAGTCTTTATGTTCTATTCAGGCCTTCAACTGATTGGATGATGCCCACCCACATTATAAAAGGGAATCTGTTTACTCAGAGTTCACCAATTTAAACGTTAATCTCATCCCCAAACACCCTACAAATTAACGCATGAAATTTACTATCACATCTACTTCAGAA